GAAAACAAAACTTACAGTGATGGGTTTGTGCTGCAACAGAAAAAAAAAAATTATGATTTGAGTCCATTTGGTGACCCCTTCACAGCTCATTTGAGACGAGCATGATGGATGTCCAAAGGCATTTGCCAATCATTGCTTAAATTGTTTATTATCTAAATATACTGTTGGACTCAATGTTAAAGCACGTAAGGTGACTTCAAAGTGTTAGCTCAAGAAATCGCAGTTTGCAAGTTAAATTCAACTGCTTTTGCAAGTGAGAACAGAAAAGTCTATCAGTATTATCAGTAATACTCATATTAATGCTTTCAGACCTAGGTCCATCTTAAGCCAAGATTGCTGGTCATGTTTAGTTTGGTGAGGCTGTTGTTGAAAACAACCTTAGTTGCCAGTTATGTCAACCCTCCAATCTCCTTTGGATTTACACCCACCTGAGTTTTGTATATGTTTATATAAAGGAAGGAAGATAAGAAAAAGATGTTCCTCTCTTGTTTTGAAATATATTTCCAACGTGCTGATCTTATTGAGCAAGCAGCCAAGGAACTTTGTCTCATGCTTGCTTTTGCAATGGAAAATGGCTACGAGAAATCAGAGGGAAGAGAAGTATGGGCTATGTAGCTTGCAGGTAAGTAGATCTTATTCACTCTGCAAATTAGAAGAGGATATTCTAATGTTTTGGGCTCCAAACTCATGTTTCCCTTTGTGATATATTTATTTCTGTATGTGTATGTATTTGGTTTTGAAACTAAAGTGAGGAGTGAGGATAATTATAGCTAGTAGCTATAAAAGAGATACTTGTGTATGCAGAAGAGAATGAGCCGTTTCAGAAAGGGGAGGAAGTATGTAATGGCATATCTAAAGTATGTAAGTTATGTAGAATGAGTGAGCTTAATCTGGTTTTGAGAATGGAGGAGGTCAGAGAGGTGAGTATTTGATGTCGCTCATGAATTTGGAGATGACCACTGGTATCTGGGGATAAGGAGTTGTGAGGATGTGGCTTTTGGGCTGTGTTTGGTAACAGGAGCTACAATCACGGGGAGCAGGGTGTGAGGTGAGTCTGTGACTTACGAGTCAACTCTGTGTAGCTTGCATGTGAGTAAGTTCTGCCTGTAGAAAGAAATACAGTAGTACAGGAAAGACAATCTTTACAGTTTTTTCCTAATAGTGAAAAAATTGTAGGAACTTGACTGAAGATGTGCTTTCCTCTGGCAGACAATTTGTGTGTACTGTAACCACTCAGGAAATGACTTATGATAAATACACGCACACTACATCCCATGTATTCATGGAGTGACCCACAACTGCCTCACTCAGGACAGATCAGATGAATTTATAAGTACAGCTGATGCAGGAGAACAGCAGAGTCCTGTATTTCCAGACCCCTGACTTTCCAGCAGTTTGAGAATGGCATTTGCTTTACCCACAGAGGTTACAACTCCAGGTAACTCAATAACATAGAGGTTTTACAAATGGGTTAAATGTGCTCGCTCCTATGAAAAATCCCTATTTCAGGTGTCTCGTTCTTAAGAAGCACCCCTACATCTGGGTACAAACTTTCATTCATCCTTGTTGGAGTTCAGAGATGAGTGTTTGCAAAGACCTCCCTTGAACTGGGACAGGCTGTAGGCTTCTATAAGAGAAGGAAATACCTATTATGTGGGGTGTAGTTGAAACTACTGTTGGCTTATTAGTAGAAAATTATGACTCAGGCTGGTTTCAGATGGTACCTCTTATGAGTTTTACTGTGGATTTAATTACACCTGTTTGGAGTTCAGTCTTCCGGGAGCAAAATACTGCTTTATGAGAATGCAAGTAGTTGATTTCATGCAAAAATAAGCAGTTTTGAAAGTTTGGTTGTTCTATTTTTCCCCCTTCAGTTTCTAAACAGTACCCTGCCTCTGATTGCTAAATATCACCTTTATTCCCATTCACACCAAGAGCTCGTGAGTCTACCCTGCCTTAGGTATAGCATGTGTGTATCAGAAGATCCTAAGAATTCTGAGAAGTCATTCTGTGTTAGGTGAATGAGGGGTAAAAGCATTCCCTTAAACATGATTTGCTTTTTCTTGCAGTTAAAAGCAGCTGAACCACAAAGTGCTGTACTGAGCAGCAGTAGTTCCACTTAGGCTCCCTTGTTGCTCTCTCCTCAGTAGCTCAGTATTTGGATATGCTCATCTAACTGGAGCGTGTCATGGGCCCAGCCTGCTTACCCAATTCCCTGATAATTGTTTACCTGCGTATTCCAGGTCACCTCTCTGCCATGCATAAACGCATAGGAGAAACTGTGCTGCTGGGATGTTGCACCCTCAGAACAATTTGCCCAGAGCTTTTTGTGGGAATGTCAATATGTTTAAATGGGGCAGGTATTGAATGGCCCAGTGCACGTGGCTATATTGAATGCTACTCTAGCAGCAGCACCATCTCGCAAACTAACGCAGCAGTAGCAGCAAGGAATGAAAAGCTGCAGACATCAGGTGGGAGCTTATAATGAATCCAACTGGGCACCCACACTAACCTCTCACTTTGAGCTGCTTGAAAGCTGACCCTGTGAACATGAAACTGTTCCTGTTAATGGCTGAATAAAAACATACGCTCTACTTGTCCAACCCCAAACCATTTTTAAGAGGAACTGTTGTCAAACAAAACAGGGATAACCAATAGATGAATCATGAGGGTGGAGTGGTCAGGGGAAGGATCTGTAAGAAAATTAGGAGTTGTGTTCCTCATCTCAAAGGTAGAAAAGGGAGAGTAGGAATGACTTTTCTACAGTCTTTCAGTCAGCCAAGATGTGCACCTGGCTGTGACAGGCACAAACTCAAGCCCTCCCTCAGCTTGACTTGAAGAAACCAGCCAGTATGGACCAGGAATTCTCTCCTTACAAAAAATTATTTCTTGCTGCCTCCCTGTGGCAAGAGCTGTTCTGAGATTGAGGTTCTTCGTTTCCTTTTTCCTTACAGATAATATACATAGGGAGCAAATAAACAAAAAGTTTTCCTACAGTACTAATGGGGAGAAAACTAGTCAGAGTGCCCTTGCTTGAACTGATAATTTGTCACAGATAAACGTTGTAAAGTCAGTTGTGTGGGAGGGAGATGGCAAGAAAGAGCGTGTGGGATTTAGGGGCAAAGGGGACAAAACAGTTTTTTGGAAAATGCTTTGAATATAATGGAAACTCACTGCCCTGCCACGAAATACAAACACTGTGTGTTGTCAAGCAGCCGGAGCAGAGGGAGAATGATGCTGGGCCTCAGCTAGCAGAAACAAAACATAATACAAACAGGCTGTGGAGCCAGGTTTGTGGTAGCATGGGGACTATAAATCCTGAGACTAGCTGAACAGAATAGCTCTCAATCATACCATCAGCTGAACTGCTACTACAGGTTAGGTTAGTGCCAGCTCTGCTCTTAATTAAAGTAGAACTTAGATGCCAGTCTATCAGCTGTTGTGTGTTTCTGCTTCTTCCTCCCAAAGTATTTGAAGAAGGAATTGCGAGCCTCAGGAATTTCAAAAAGTAATCCAAAGCAGAAGAGACAAAAATGCAGTACTGTTAACAGCATATCTAAAAAGGAGGTTTTGAGTAAAGAGAATCTGTCTGCATTCACCTTGAACTAGGAGGATTCGTGTATGTGTTGTTACTGCTCCAGTGCAGTAATGATGGAGTTGCAGGGAGCTGGCTGCAGCACATGTCAGCTTCTGGAAATACACTGATCATGTATTTCCTTGCTCCCATGAGTACAGTAAGATCTCTAAGAAAGCAGTGTGCCTCTAGGACAGATTCAGTAGCACAGAACTAGAGATTCTCCTCTGAAGCAGACACAAACCTGTGACGCCTTCATATAAAGCCCATAAAGAAGCAATTCTTTATCTCCCCCGCCTGCCCCCATGCAAAGTTGTAGACCATGCTGTAGTTTCTGCTTTTCATGCTTGGAGTCACTCACCAAAGAGCTCGTGTTCCTGCAGGACTCCAGCAAACACTAGCACCCAAATGAACAGCATGGTCCCACGCTCCCTGTAGTCCTGTGCAGTGCACGGCAGGCTCCCTCCCAGGCTGTGCATAGACTGCTCTGTCTGTCTGTCCAGCAGTGCTGAGGTTTAGCCAGAGCTAGGAGGAAATATGCCCAGGCTGAGCCAAGATTCTGGAGCTGTGCTTTTTTTTTTTTTTCTTTCCTCTTTCCTCCCTTTAAAAAACACCCTTCCAGCTCCACAAAAAGTCCAGTTATCCAGGCAGGCTGGCAGAGCTCCAAGCTCCCCAAAGTTTTTACCCTGTATTTATTTATGCAGCCTACAACTGGAATGTGCTGGAAAACTCCGAATGCTGTGAGTACAGCAAGGGGGGCAAGAAAAGGAGGAGAGAGGAGAGGGGTGCGGGATGTTTCTTTCCCTGTAGGATTATGTCTAGGGTGTGGAAAGCAGGAACAGTGGAAAACACGGTATCATTAGAGTTGTGCAAAAACAGGGTTCTCATGTTATTTGTTTTTAAGACTGCAGAAAAATGTCTTCTGGGAGGGCAGAAATTCTGCTGGACTGAGTGCAGCAGCCTTGTGTCGGTGGTGCCTTGCCTTTGGAAAGCAACAAAGGCTCCTCTGAGCTCTTCCTAGTTCGAAAGGTGTTAGAAATAAGTTAGATGTGATAACACCATGCGTAAAAATAGCTCTGCTAATGGCATTCTGACTGCGTGCTTGAGTTAAATACTTATCTTGAGAGCTGATGGGTGTCAATTGGGTACGTGTCCATGTAGAACATGAGGAGGTAGGCCTCCAGCCCTGAGCCTGCTGCAGGTTCCTGGCACAACCTTTGTCACGTTCCTTCCAGCTTGCAGGTCTTTCGTTTCCTACCTTTGAAGGAAAATTAATAATCCTTTTACCCAGCTCAAGAAATAACAATAAAAAAATGTTTGCTAAGCATTTTGTGTTGCCTGAGTTTAAAAAAAAAAAAAAAAAAAATTCATACAAACTCTTGTGTTTTTATCAAGGAGTAGTTATTACAGAGCGAGTTAGGAATGCACTGCAAAGCTCTTGTACAACTAAGGCTGTACATGCTGTATGAAGGCTATGACTGCTGAAATGAGAGGTTGTCTGTGCTGAGGCTACGGGGGAAGTGGAAGCAAAGCCAACAGACTGAGGACATGCGAGTGCTGTGCCGGTGAGTTCTTTACAACCAAGATGTTGACCTGCAGGAGTGAGAGCCCTGTACTGCTTAGGAGAGCGAAGTCTCAGGAGCAGGATAAGACTTGAGAATAGTTGGTTTCTTTTTCCTGAGTGTGCTTGTCCTGGACCTTTGTCCTTACACTAAGTGCCTTTCTCAAGCAGAATCTCCCTCGTGTTCTCTTTCTAAGGGAGCCAGTTGGTGGATGCTTTTTTGCATGTTTTCTGCTGTACTCTACAATATATTATTAAAAAGCAATGAACATTCATTGCATTGCTTTTTTCCTCTACATCAGAAAAGCTGTAAAAATATATTAAAACTGCTGCTGTGGACCACCACTGGGGAGGTCACTCAGCCCCTTACTGCATGTTTCCTGGAGATTCTGAATGACTTCATCTCAGATTCATGAAACTGCTACATTCTCTCAAGGCAGTTCCTTCTTACTTGTTGAACAGTGTTATGTTTGACTATAGTGAGATCTGATACCCACAGAGAAGTAAACAAAACAGTGAGGTTTTTCTCTAGTTTGGTACTCCGGAGGTTGTTTCTATAGGGAGAGAAGCTCATTCTTCACGAGGGAAATACAGCCAAAAAAAATCACCTAGGCCAAGTAAGATTTTGGTTTTCAGTAGGGCTACTTGTCTAAAGCATTTTGGTGATCTTGGATGACTACCTAAGTTGCTTACTGTTGCTGGTAAGCGCTCAGAATGAAGTTGGAAATGAACAAGTCTTTATCAGCATTGTAAATTATGACATATTTGAGATGCATGTCAGAAATCATTAAACTGCAAAGTAGATTGTTCAGTGCAAGGCAGAAGATCTGGGTGTAGTGGAGAGTATGTGATATGTATAAACCTATTTGTCTTCTGGAAAGTTATTCAGTCACTGATTACCATCAGAGAAAGCATTCTCCAGCACATTCATCTTGGAAATGTCCATATATGAGAATATAATGAGATCATATGAATATAGGTTTGCACAAAATCCAGCTGTTGAGATGTTCCCAAGACACCAGCAGCCAAAGAAAGCATACCAGTGAACAGGGATGGGAATTTCTGCCAGCAGGCAATCTGGCAAAAGGGAGAGCAAACACAAGGTTTGAGTCTATTTTGGGAGTGTTGGGGTTTTTTGTGTTATTTTGCTTTTTTTGTTTTCTTACAGCCTTTCTGTATCGCTTTCTTGGATGAACCAAAGGCTTGGCAAAGCAAGAGAGTAGGTCATAGAGATACAACTGAGTGCATAGAGAGGAGGAACAGAATAAACAAAGGCCATGTGTCAGCAGAGGATGTGTGTGCCATGAGAAGGAAGATAATATCATTCTTGGGCATGAAATCCTGCAGCATGGACTGGTGGAGGAGTATGGCTGAGCATAAACTTGGCAAAGGTTGAATTGCAGTCCCTCATGACTGTAAATGAAACAGAGAGAAAATTATTTCTAGGAGATTATTTCTAGGAACAAAAATACAGTCAAAGACCCATTTGTGTAGGGAAAGGAAAGAGCCTTACATGCAGAGAAGAAAATGGAAGAGAATGATCTCTATCCTGGATTTAGCACAGAGGGACAATGAAATACTGTGGATGTTCCCTTGGGAAAAGGCGTTTACCCACCAGAGTCTGGAGATTCCCCATGTGTTTATCTATTAGCTGCCAGCTGCTTGTGACCTGAAGTTTTCAGGCCGCACCTGGAGGCTGCTGAATCCTTTATGTAAAATGAGGCTTGGCTCATGATTCTTCTAGAGAAGGTGAATTATTTTCACCCTCTTAATTAACTCAGTTCTTGACTGCTGAGTTAAAGCAATAATTGAATGTGTGTGGAAGCAGAGCTTATTGCCTGGAGAGACTGATTTCCAAAGAAGAGGTATGCAGTTGTCAGCTGCTTCCAGCGGAAGCAGGCATTAGCTTTGGAATGAGTGTATCACTTGATGAGCAAATGGAAGGTATCTTGGCATGGTGATATCACCAGAATGAAACAGACATGGCTGCTTACAGCTTTCAATTGTGGTAACTCAGCACCACATCCCCGGTAGAATGCCCTGAGCCTCCTCATCTCTGTTGCTCATGGGAGCAGCCTCTGTTGGTGCTGCAGGTCTTGTGGGCTGCTGCCTTCTCTCCCAGCGCAGTCTCTCTTCAATCTGTTAGATAACAACTTGAATTAGTGGTTACTACCTTCAAGGAACATCAAAGAGTGCAATGTTCTCTTGTCATTGTCATAAAGGCACAGACTTTGGTTCCATTAAAAAAAAAAAAAAAAAAACCAAAAACGTGCAGTATACGAGGTGCTGATGAGATCAGCTCCAGTTGTACCCTTGGAGAAGGTTAACAAACGTGTGTCATGGAATAGAGCACTCTGGTCCAGCCTTCTCCAAAACAATACATTTTGTACTGTGCCTAAGGCCAGCAGTGAGTCAGCTTCTCTCTTGAGGCAGTTCCCTTGTGTCATCTTGTTGCCAGCATGCTAAGCTGGGTTCTCTTTGCCAGCATTAGGTAAGCAGCTGATGGGTTTAGGCTGTCATGCATCTGTGACTTCAGCTTCCTGAACAATCATCCACGAGAAATTTGAATCACAAGACTGGAGGTGGGTTGCATGGGGTGTTGGTGAGTGGTGTCTTACTGTTAGTTTTGTGTTTTTAACCAGCTGTTTGATCCTTTCATTTCACAGATCTCACAGATGTTAATAAGCCCAACTGTGCTGCAGGAGCACCTATGGAACAAGCTATGTAACATGCCTGCTCTTTCTAGAGAAAATACAACTTCATCCTGACCAAGCTGATTTAGCTGTATACTCAGCTAAATTAGTGAATCTGAAATGGACCCTTGACTCCTAACTTTATGTCGCACATATGGTAATGCACACTGCTTTTTTTTTAATTGTAGAAAACTGCATCCTTTTGCTTGCATCCACCCATTTGAGTCACATTAAAAAAATGTGAAATAACTCCCTGAGTCCACAGCAAATAACACTCTAGAAAATAACACTGATGGGGGAAGTACTTGATTGTTCTCAAATTGGAATGACTCAGCTAGTGACTTTAGCAGGCCAGTGTTGCACACCACACTAATTAAAGGAAATAATGGCTTGAAACTGAACCAACATTTTCACTCTGTGAAGGAGCAATTAATATCTTAGAAGCTATTCATCTGTTGACTAGCACCTTGCTGAGCACAGGTCATGAGAAACAGCAGTGAAACAGAAGTCTGCGTTACTTAATGTCTGCGTACCTTTCTCCATTAGAGAGCTCATCAGCCGTACATGTGAAGCCCTTGAATACAGGCAGTATTTACCATATGAGCTAGCTGTGAGGTACAGATGTTTAATGAAACAGAAACAGCTGGGAATAAATCCGTTTCAGATCAACAGTCAGCCTGTTCTCGTTTCTGCCTTAATTACTGGAAGATCATGGATAGATTCTAAAGAAAGTATGATTTGCCAGAGAGAGGTCAAGCTAATCTCTTTACTGTCACTCCCCTGGAGATTTATAGTACGTGTATTACTTTGCTGCTGATGTAGTAAAAATCCCAAGTTAAGGGTCCTTTTGAACTGAATGTGGGTTAGGAAATAGGATACTGTAGCAGGATGCTAGTAGACCTTGTCCCATCTTTAATTGTGATTTTTCTTCAGGCATGCTTCCGACACTTTCTCCAAGGCAGAGAATGAGTAAGAAAATGGTATGATTTTTTTTCTGTCTTGCTGTCTGGTGGATTCTGTTCAGCAAGAATTTGTACAGTGAGCTATTACTGCATGGAGCCAGCATCTTGCCTCTTTAATTCCAGCTGCTAAGCATCGTTAGGAGACAATGTGAATACTTACATAATGTTGCTATTATCAAGAGAATTTGTTGCCAGAGGGAAACTTTGTAATCATGAACAGCAAGAGAGGTGCCCACAAAACAATTTCTGTTAAATGCTCATCCAGGGAATGAAAAACCTTGTGAGACTATGGACAAATAGATTAACAAGATTAGTGTTCGCCGCAAGCTGTAGAGTCAGGGCATTAACTCATGCTTGTGGAAAACAGATGTGAACTCTGGATTCCTGTCTTCCACCCTTTGTTTTGAATATTTTTCTAATGAAATCCTTGAAGGGCGATCAGTTCCGTATGTTTTTGGGGGAGGGCAATAATGGTTACACCTGTTACTGGTTTGCTGCATCTGCATGGCTATTCTGGTTAGTGCTAAGGACAAAATTAAGGACAAGAACTACACCTGAAGCTCAGTCCTTCCAGAAAACAAGCATAGCACTGATGATGCTTCTAATGCCAGATTTTGGGACAGCCAATCTTGCTTCGAGAGATCAGTTGAATGCAGATCTATTAAAATATCTGCAACAGTTCACTGTCTGGATGTAATATAATGTATAGTTTTGCTTTTAAGTAACCTACTCCAGTTAAACAACCTTATTTAATTCATACCCACCACCAGAACTCACTAGAAGAGTAACAGAAGTGTTATTTCTTAGTTCCCATACTCATCTCTGCCTTTTTAAGAGGAAGTTTTTCACCCAGAGGGTGGTGAGGCACTGCAACAGGTTGCCCAAGGAGGTTGTGGATGCCCCATCCCTGGAGGCATTCAAGGCCAGGCTGGATGTGGCTCTGGGCAGCCTCGTCTGTTGGTTGGCAACCCTGCACATAGCAGGGGGTTGGAACCAGATGGTCATTGTGGCCCTTTTCAACCCAGGACATTCTATGATTTTTTACTTTTATGTAAGTGCTTTCTGGTTTTTCCTGCTTGGGTATTTCTCTTCACCATCTATAGCAGCAACTGCTTTAAGCTTCTTCTAATTAATGCTGAGAAAAGAGAGGAAGTAGCAGATTAGTGGATAAAATACATGAGAAGGGAAGGGAGGGTTTGTTGCATGTGTTTACAGAATAAGAAGCACCGGAAGTGAGGACAGAGGAGTCATGTGAGTCATCAGGACTCTATAAAAAATTCCAAAGCAATCTGTTCTCTATAGACTTGATCGTCAGGGAGGTAAATGACAAGAAGCTGATAAGACAGGTGGTTTGAATTGAGAAGAGCTGACACTGGTCTAGGGAGCAGAAAGTGGTTTGCTCACATGGGTGAGGAGGTGCTATGCTGAGAGCAGGAAAGAATTGGGCCAGGATGGGACAGAGGGCAGGAAGGAGCTGAGCATGCTGCCCAGCGGCAGTGAGGCAGCCTGCAGTGGCAGAGCCCTGCTTGTCCCACTGCCTGACAGGTGTCTGTCCAGGTTATCTTCTGCTGCTCCAGGAGCTGCTCCACTCAGTCTTTCTGCTCCCATCTTCTGTTCAGCTTTTGATTTCTTTTGATCTTCCCACAATTGCACTCAGCGAAGCTGAGTTGTGGGCTGGATGAGCTGATTTTGAGCACAGCGTGAGCTGCAACCTAGAGCTTAGTGATTTAATCAGACACAGCGGGAGGAGAGGGAAGAGGATTTAGATCAGTGAGAGTCTGGGCTAAAGGAGCTGGCTCTAGGCTGTTATGTACTTGACCTTGGGATTACTTACGCTAACCAGGAGGCAAAGGAGTTCAGCCCATCCATGAGCAGCACTGTAGAGAAACGTTTATTGCCTTGGCAGAAGCGTGTGTTCTTTACTGCAGTTGCGTGTCCAATGTGCCAAAAACCTTCAAAGGCCTTTTGAGCCTTTGAAAGCATTGTACAGCAGGTAGCTATAGACTGTGGTAGATTTGAACCTGTTTGAGTAATTCTGTAATCAAATAACTTTGTTTCAGGTCACATCACTTGTCTTTTAAATGCTTGGTGATTTCTGTGACCATACATGCAACCAGTGACTAAAGTAAAGCTTTCAAGTTATACGGTGCTGCTGTTCTATTTTACTGCCCTCTGAAATGGTAGAACATGTTCCACTGTTTGCCATGCCTGTGCTCTGCATGGGCAAACTGGTACCTCACTTCAGGGCTCACGGTGTGTGTTTTCAGCTGGTGCCTCTTCCAGTAATGTGACCAGATAATCACCCGGACTATTCTTTAGACTCGCACACTACAAACGTGTTCCTTGAATTGACACCTGTCCATTCTCTCAGCCCCTATAAAATATACCCTGAGAAAGCTAGATCTGTTTCCATTGATTTTGGTCTACCTTAGTCTCTTCTAAATTGCCTGAAGATAATAAGCAGTAATGTAAAATAGTATAGCTCAATTACTGTCTGAAAAATAAAAGCTGGAAGATGAAAATCTGGACTGTTTATTAGTATTGACTTATGCAGAAATTGAGAAGGAGGTGAAATTATACGCCGAAGAAGAAAACGTCACCTATTCCTTTTCATTATTACTATTGGAAATTCTTTTTCTGGACTTCCTGTATTTCCACACTGATATTCACAGTGGTTTATCACCATGTTCCAGTTGCACCAATGCACTGCATAATCATAAATTGTCATTTCTGTTTTGTGTTGCTACTCTGAACAACTTTTTCGTGTTTCTTTTTGGCGTGAGCGTAGACTGTCTCCACCCTTTTTCCTTCTGTATCTGACAAGTTCTGCAATGAGCTCTCCCCTTGGACAGACTATCGTGTCCCACTCACTGAGGTTGGAAATGTTACTAATTTTATTTCTGTGGGGGGGAAAAGCTTGGCTAACCCTGCAAGACTATTTTTCGAGTCCTGTAATTCAATGAAGTCTTTATTTACAGTGCTAATAGCTATTTCTCCTTGTGCTCTCTAAACTGAATTCTCTCTGGTTTCAAGGGAACGAGGCACTGTTTTCCATTTCCAAAGTGGCCAAATAGTCTGTAGCTCAAGTCAAATCTTCTACCATCAATGCAAAAGGCAGAAAAGTCACTGCCTAGGGCAGATACTTTGTTAATTCTTTGGTTAGCCTTCTGATCAATACTTCTAAACCTGAACAGTTACTGGGCCATTCCTTAGACATCTGCCCATTTTCCATGTGTTTCAGTCTGCAGGTAGTGATCATCTTGGTCCTATTAGAGATGAACAAATACAATGAAAGTAACCCATTTCATTCCAGTAGATAAGAGGCATTTGTGTTTTGCAAACTGAGCTAAGACTAAGGTTATGTATCAAAGGTTAGCAGGATCAGACATTAAAAGATGATATGACAGAGGCGACTTCTGCCAGTGAAGTGCAAAACCAAAATGAAACAAGGTCATCCTGGATGTTTCAAGTGCAATGGGCAACAGCCACATGCAGATAGTTGATCCAGAGATGCTCAGAAGAAGATATTTACAGATAAGTAGATCAGGGAAATTGCTGTGGGGGTATAGCGCCTTCCTGGAAATCACCAAGCAGACACAGTGCCTTCTTGGCCAACTAGTTCAAAGCCATATCATCATAAACATTGATCAATGTGCTTTGTGATGTAGATGTATCAATCAGCATGGCACTAAAGGGTAGAATTTTCTCCCAGTGACTGAATGCTCTTGGTGGCAGTGGGAAGGAGGCTGTGTGACATCCTATTGCCATGACTTTCACTGTTAGCATCCACGGTTATCAGCTGCAGTCTGAAAAAGGCAATGAAATAAAAAAAGCCCATCATTTTTGTAACTGTTGCTGAACCATCGATTGCTTTTGTTCACATCTCTTAAGCTTTGAAGCAAAAAGTGTAAAATCTGTACTTGAGGTGATCCTTTGCTACACATGCCTTTAGACATGTGTTTGTGAACTTTGCAGAAACATCACCTTTCAGCTATATTTGTACAGGATATAGGATATATGATACAGGAGCACAAAATTAGTAAACTCTCCATCTTGGACAACCTACTTTTCTTCCCCTCTTACTATAAAATTAGACAGATTCTCTGCATTCTGTTGAAGAAACAAAAAGAAAAAATAAATACTGAATCTGCTTATATATATGCAAGGGTAAATTTCAGCTCTTCAGGGTGCAGAGAGCTATGGACTAGAATCTTCAAAATTCAGTAGAAATTAGTCTCAAGAATTAGGCATCTCCTTTTCAACAATGCATTAACGCCTGAGGTTTGTCTTTTGCCTGATTTCTGCTTAC